AGCTCTGTTCAAATATGACAAGTTCTCCAACATATCCAACATGACAAAAATACCAATCTTGAAAAACCATTTTCATTTTCATTGGCTTCCTGTGAATTACTACCTCTCCCCCCTGAGGCAAATTTGATATCCTTTATGTATAGATAACCATGACACAAATTTATAGAGTGGGCCCTCTATGGATGACTGAGTTATGGGCTTTGGAAAAAATGTAACTCCACAAAATGTTGACAATAAAGGAAAATATTAGAAATATCTCCAATATCTCTCATAAAATATGAACCGGACAAAGATTCTTTCAGAAATCTTTACAATTTTCTTATTGCTTGTCCTGTTGTGATTTTAAAGTCATTTTCGAAGTCCCTCAAATTTATGGTTTTCATTGGCTTTTGGCTTTTAAGTTCATGTATCATTGTTTTAACACTTGCTTTATTTGTTTCATTGACCAAAGGTCCTGGTTGAACTCTGCATCCATCAGGACCAGCAACCTCTTTCTCGTTTCCAAACATTGACTTTTATACTGTTGCAACTTTGATTGCTAACTCATTTAAAAACTCTTTTTTACATCTATAGCCTTCAATGTATGTTTTTGTATGTGACTTTAGAGAAGTTTCTAATATTTTCCTTTACTGTCGACATTTTGTGGAGTTATGTTTTTTCCAAAACCCATAACTCAGTCATCCATAGAGGGCCCACTCTATAAATTTGGGTCATGGTTATCTATACATAAAGGAAGCTTTTGATATCAAATTTGCCTCAGGGGGGAGAGGTAGTAATTCACAGGAAGCCAATGAAAATGAAGATGTTTTTTCAAGATTGGTATTTTTGTCATGTTGGATATGTTGGAGAACTTGTCATATTTGAACAGAGCTTGAAAAGAGCTTTAAAATGAGCTATCACTGGACCCAATAGAACAACCAGAACAAAAGTTATTAATGTTTTACTGTTTAGGGGGTTGCAGTCATGGTGATACGGGGAAAATGTTTAGATACTGATTTCTCGGCCCCCATTACAGATATTAAACTGAAATTTGGTGCATAGTCTTTTCTTACCATGGGAAACATATGTGAGAAGCTTTATCAAAATTAGAAATATTTAGGACATATAGGTTGGTTGGTTTGGTATGGAATTACCCATATATATATATATATATATATATATATATATATATATATATATATATATATATATATATATATATATATATATATATATAAATAAATATATATATGTGTGTGTGTATATGTGTATATATGTATATATAAATGTATGTCTACATGAATATATATGTATATGTATACATATACAATATACCGCATATAATGCAGAATGACATCCTAGACATACTCTAAAGATATAGAATTTAGAAATGGAAAGGAAGCAAAGCTTTTTAATTATATTTTTTGATGGGCATAGTAACATTTTTAAGATTTATTTCCTGATTTTTTTTTTATGTATATGTCTATGTGTGTTATATATATATATATATATATATATATATATATATATATATATATATATATATATATATATATATATATAAAGTTGCTCTATTGTGTAAAATAGAGTTATCTATGATTATTTTGGATGAATGCATTTTATATACAGCACCAAGTATAATTTAACAAACTTTTCTCTTTGCACCTGCTACAGGCATAATCTGCCACATTAACCCAATGTTGCCGGGAAAATGCTGTTCTCATTTAAATTTTTTTTGTGGAATGTCTCAGCACATAGATGGCTCTGTTAGTGTTTAGCCACAAATGAGTCAGTTAGTAGTCCCTGTGACCTTCCCTGATTTCACCTTTCCTTGAATTTGTGGGAAAAATATATATTTTTTTACTAATGCTATCAATGGTATTATTTTTGTAGATGTTATAATTACTATAATATTATTGACATTAGTAACAGCGATATAAGATACTCTAAAATATTTTGGAAAATCAAGGAAAAGGGTAAACAGGTGTAACAATTAGTACTCATAATTGGCTCATTGATGACCTAATACAAGTGGAGCCATCTACGTGTAAAAATAATTAATAAAGTAAACTCACAGCCGGCGGGCATGGCATATTTGTTCATGCCATGCCCGCCGGCTTTGGGTTAAAAGGAAAGAAAATGTTTTTAAGTTTAGCATGCATTATACTTCTTCCTTCTCATTGTAAGTTTGATCATTTCCTCTTTTTGTTTTTTATTTTGTCCATTAGGTGTAAAACTGAGGTACCACTAGCTTTGTCTGGCCTGAAACCTGATTAAAGTTTGGGAGTGAGACTGGGGAAGGGAGACTTATAGCTCAGATCCTACAATATTTTTGTAGTCAGTCATATTAGAAATTTGTGGAATAATAAGTATAAGATATATTAAATCTGTTTTGAAGGTAATCTAGACATAATATAGCTGGTAGAATGTAATCACAGCATAACCATGCAGGAGGCTAGGCAGCCACAGGGCTCAGAGCTCAGAATGGCTAGTGGAAATTTGATTTAAAAAGAAATGCATGTGCATATGAGTGTGTAAGATCTCGCATAAGGAGAGAATGGCATCTTACCTTTTCTTTTTCTTCTTCTTCTTGTTCTTATTATTATTATCATTATTATTTCTATTATTATTATTATTATTATTATTATTATTATTATTATTATTTTTATTAGTTGTCAATTTACACTAACATTTACTTGAAATTTGTAGAGGTATAACTTTTTATTGCTTTACTTTACTATATTATTTGTTCTCGAGAGCGATTGTGTGAATCAGAGTACTCCAGAGTCGAGGGTGAATTCCCTGTTTTTCTCTCATAAGATTGAATAGAGCATATGTATTATCCAATCATGAAATTTGAATATTGAAGGAATGAGTATTAGAAAACCAGTACGGAGGTTTATCAGGATAATTTATTTTGCCCCACATTTTCCAGCACAAAGGCCATCAATCCACCCACCCATCCATCCATCCATCCACCCACCCATCCATCCATCCATCTATCTATCTATCTATCCATCCATCCATCCATCCATCCATCCATCCATCCATCCATCCATCTATCCATCCATCCATCCAGCCTTTCATCCACTTGAGGCTTGAATAATTACTGCAAATATGCCAGCTTAAAAGTATGATGTTACAAGGGTTCTTTTGTAAATAAAATCCATCCACCTGTCTGTCCATCCACCCACCCATCCATCCTTCCTTTCATCCACCTATCCACCCATCCCAGCATCTCACCATCCATCCACCTACTCACCCAGCCATCCACCTACTCATCCATCCATCCACCTACTCATCCATCCCACCATCCACCTACTCACCCAGCCATCCAATTAC